AACATCTTGAGTTTTAATTCCTTAATTAATTAAACTTAATTAGGGTAATTAAATAAGTTGAAGTGGTGTTAGCCAGAGAGGTCTAATAATCATGTTTAATGATATTTCAGCCCTAATTGTGGGTCCTGTATCAAATCGGGCCACCCGGGCATCCAAAGGAGAAGAAAAGGAACAGTTGATGTTGTTGTGCCACATGTTGCAGCGTGGAGATCTTTTGCCACAATGCATAGACATTTCTGAGTGAGGGAGGACCTCTCTGTGCCATGCGCCGTGATGCATTGTGCGTCTACCACGATGCATGTCCATTTTTTTATAGTTTATTAGATGTGAAATGAGACAGCAATAGGGAGAAAGAAAAGAGAAAAATGGAGAGACACACCAATACTCTGCTAGGGCATGACTTAGATGAGAATTCAAGAAGGTTTGAAGCTCTAAATCATCCAAGATAAGATTTCTAAGCCCTTTTCCTCCTTTCCTCTTCCATTTTCTCAAGGATTTGAGTTAAGATTTATATGAGAATGGTGATTTTAGTCCATATAAGGTATGGGTCCAAATTTGTTGACTCAAATAAAGTTAATGGGAGTATATAAGAGTATCTAAACCTAGGTATAATGAGTTTTAGTGCCTTGGGTTGTTGGACACCATTAATATCTAAAAATCTCATTTATTATGGGTGGTTGGAAGTTTTTGATGCCATTAATGGGAATTTAATAGCTCATTAATGCTATTGGGGGCTAAAGGTAATTATGAAACCTAATGGATAGGCCCCAACTCATGTAGAGTGAATGTTGGGCAATTTAGAATTGGAGATTGAGAGTTCAAATGCTCAAGTTGGTTATGTTAATAAAATTCAACTTGGTTGATTGTAGTTTTGGCTCTTGATCACCTATTAGATTGGAAATTCAAGCTTGGAAGCTAGTTGATTGAGGGGTAAAACTTTGATCTCTCAAAAGTTTGAGGTAATCGAGAGAAACTCTACTTTGGATAGTTATATGTTAATTGATGGTTAATTAATTGTTAAATGTAAATTGTGAATGTTACATGTATGTGATTGATTTTTAAAGTGAAACTATATATTAGTTTCAATGAGTGTATGAAAATTTGATTGAGCATAATGCTATTTTGGTTTAAAATGCAAAATGCAAAATGCAAAGTTAAGAGGATTTTTTAACTATAAACATACTTATGTTTTTAGGGAAATGAAGGTGATGATGTGTAGAGGTGTTTGTGTTAATGAGAAATGAATTTTGAGAAAATGATGAGAAAACATACTTGGGTAGCGCATAGTTGTGAGCCTAACGTAATTGTTGTAATAACGAGTATTTGAAAGTGAAAAAGTGAAAACGAGTGAGTATCGATTATGGCATGATTAGTGGTGGGAGTTCGCCTAGGGATTAGGAGTAGAGAAAATTCATATGGTATTTAGGTTGCTCTCTGGTGTACGGAGATATAGCCTTGTCCTACAGTTTGTTGAGGGACTGTCCTATAGGTTGTCGAGAGAATAGAACCTATCCATCTCCACCAGTTCAATGAGGAGAATAGCTTAGGGTATGAGACGCCCTAGGGATTTGAGTATGGGGGAAGTTATGGTCTAAGAGTGAGTCTTGTGATCTTTGGCCAAGTCACACCTCACGATTGGTGAGCTTGGGTAGTTCAATCACACGGATGGAGCCTTAATCAATGTTGTAGCCCACAATTTCAATTTGAGGAAATAAAGAGGATATAAGGTTGGTTGATCATTGCCTAAGTAAATATGTGACATATCACCCGTGTTAAGTGGTGGCAAGTCGCATGAGTATAGGTCATGTCACATATCTAAGAATATGGTAACAATGCACCTAGTTATGAGAGTTAAAGAAGTTATTTAATGATAAATAACGAGATATGATAGATGCCAGCATGTTTTATATATTTGATTTCCTCGTGTATGTATTTGGTTTATACTTGATATATAACTGCACAGGGTAGATTTAACCTTAATTACTGAGTGGCTAGACTTACCCTCTTTCATTTAATATTTTTCAAGCTTTAGCTTTGGTGGTGAGAGGAAGAAGGCTAAAGATGTGGGGAATTAGCATATTCCTACTGTATGCCTCTAGTTTAGATTTAATTGTGTAATAGTATATGAATTGCCAATTCTAGGATGCATGCAACCACACTTGCACTATTTTATTGTTGGAAATGTTAGATTTGTATTTTGGGCCCTTAGTTTTTATATATGTTAATATATATATATATATATATATGTTTATAGGGCCAAATATAAGGCCAAAATACTAGTACAAGTGTAGAAACAATGATTTGAATATATTCTGAATGATTTGGCCAAGATGCAATGACAAATTGCCTCCCCCTCTGTTTTTGGTAAAATGGGGTTGAGGAGTGAATTTTTATTATACTGATATTTTAGTGCTTGTGACGTACTCCTTCCGGTCCTATTTATAAGTCACTTCTACCAACCTCACCAATACCAATATAATAAAAGTACAAAGAATAATTGTTAATAAAATTCCAAATTTACCCTTCAAAATGAAAAAGGCAAAAGTACAATCAATGAATAAATTATTATTTTTAGAATTTCTCTCTCATGCTTTATCAAGTATGAGACTTTTACAGTGACAGTACAAGACTTTTACAGTGACAGTATGAGGCTTCTGGAGTGACAGTATGAGGCTTCTGGCGGGAATAAAGCCTTTTATAGTGAAAATGAGACATTTACAGTGAAAAATTGAGCCTTCACGCGGGAATGAAAAATTAGAGGCAGTGTTTCACATTTTGAGAAACTTATATCCCACTAAAAGAGAATCAGACAGCATTGAAAACAACAGAAAAGAAAGGCACAGAAACTGTACTTTTCCACCATGGAAAAGTGCTCCTTCTCCTTTGATTTAAATGCTCCAGCCAATGAGGAAGATAGTGGGGACAACAACACCATTTCTTTAGACTTAAATGCTCCTCCCATGTGTGAGAATATCCACCTGAACAGCAATCAAAATGAAGAGCAACATGTTACAATCAATGAAGGAAATGGTAAGAATCTCTCTCTTTATGAAGCCCATGAATATCCCCATCTTTTGTTATTTCTTCTTTCAATGATCTAAATTATTTATGTTCAGCTGATGAGTTAGAGAACATGATTAAACAAAAACGTACAGTAAAATGGCATTAAATGGCTTCAATGATAAAAATCAACCTTTCTAGCACATGAAAGATAGCTCTCTCCCCACCCACCATCTTCATTTTGTATTGTGCAAAGAAAATTATAATGCATTATTGACTAATAAATTCATAGATTTAGTTCAGTTTATAAAATGTGAAGTGATAATATTATATTGACAGAATCGTATAATCTCTCAAGTTCTACATGTTCACCCACAATCTCTGATGATAGCTTTGATAGAAGAAGACAACACTGAAACAACCAATAACACCATATGGTAATACAACACATATATGAAATATGAAGTTGAACATTAGGATGACATAACCATAAGTAGAAATCAAATGATGCTCTAATGTTGTCTCCCTTGTTGCTACTAAAACAATTTAAACATTTCTCAATATCATTTTGAATTATTAAAGATTTAGAACAATTATCATGATACCAGATGCCAAAAACTTACAGGATTTTTGAAGCATATGAATCAGGCTTAGTCACACCAATCCCATCAATGTCTTTATTAAAAGCACCAAATGCAGTATCATAGCCTGCTTCAGCGCCACACACAATGGTTGGAGTACCAATGGTGGCAGAAGAATCAATAATAGGTGACTATTTCAATGCAATGACTATTGTTACAATAGTATGCTCATAGAAGTATTGAACCTTTAACTGCCAAAGCCAACATGAACATATTTTTCAAAATAAATGTGAGGGTAAATTTCCTTGGTCATAGATACAAATTTCTAGATATGAGAACTCTCATGAGCTCTTAAAATACATTAGGGCGAGAGTCTAGCACTTTTGGATTACTAAATAAAACAAAAGCAGCCATTCTCATATGAGAGTGTATATTCTTTAGGAAAAATTGAGTTGAGATAAAGAAAGTAAAAAAATTTATCACAAGTACAAAAACAAAGTCTTGCCGTGAAATATATGCACATAAAGCTTACATCTAAACATCACAAATAAAGAAAAATGACATAATAGAGTTATCGAATATTTACCTCAAATTAGGCATGATGCTCATTCTATAGATATCACAGCTATTGAAAAAGAATCAACTAATAATGAAGAAATGTCTATCACTAGTGCCATTCATCGTGTTTCAGATTGAAAACCAGGAAAAAAAATCAATGACTAAGATAAAAAATGTACATGAAGAAATCAAAACCTCACCCTTGCCTCATCTCTGTTGAGATAACTTCACCGGTGACAACAATGGTATCCTTATCTTTGATGGTATCCTCACAGTTTTAAAAGCTCACCTACAGCAACTTGTATAAATTCTCATTTTTTCTGCAAAAAAGGAAAAAAAAGTTTATTAGATTATATGGTCTATCAAGAAATCTAACATTTGTAAACTTTTGAAACAGAGACAGATATGGGACGCAACACAATTGAATCACCAGGGTAGCCACCATGTAAAAGAAGAAGGTTCTTATCAAATGAAGAACGTGTCTCCATTTACAAGATCTTATTAAACTTAAGCTATCAAGGTAAACTGAACAGTATTACAACAAGAGAGATAGCTTCAGCATATTCAGTTTCAATCAGAGTCATTCAACGCATTTGGCATCAAGTTAAGGAAACAGGGGATGCAAGCTATAGAAAGACAAACAAGTGTGGAAGAAAGGGATCTAACGTGAACATGGAACAAGTCATGGCAATTTCGATACATCGACGGACTACTTATAGGTCTCTTGCAAGTGCACTAGGTGTTAACAAGACATCACTAATCAGACTTTAAAAAAAAGGAGTTCTATGGCGCCACACAAGTGCAATCAAACCATATTTAAAGGAGCAAAACATGCTTGCTTGGTTGAGGTGGTGTTTATCTATGTTAGAGCAACAAAGTATACCAAATGACCCAACTTTCCAATCTATGCACAACATTATCCATATTGATGAAAAATGGTTTTACATGACAAAGAAATCCCAAACCTACTACTTGGCAGTGGGAGAGGAGCCACCACATCGAACATGTAAAAACAAGAACTATGTTGGTAAAGTTATGTTCCTAGTTGCTGTGGCTAGACCTAGATTTGATGCACAAGGAAATGAAATTTTCTCTGGGAAGATTGGTTTGTTCCCTTTTGTTAGAAAAGAAGCAGCAAGAAGAAGGAGTGTGAACAGGAGCAGAGGCACAATGGAAACAAAACCGATCACTTCAATTACAAAAGAAGTCATGAAGTCTTTCTTTATTGACAAAGTGCTACCAAAAATCAAGGCCAAATGGCCAATATGTCATGCAAATGAAACTATTTTTGTTCAGCAAGATAATGCTCCTTGTCATATTGACAATAATGATGAGGATTTTCAGATGGCAGCAAGTGATTGTGGGTTTGATATTCGCTTGGTTTCTCAACCCCCCAACTCCCCTGATTTAAACATTTTGGATCTTGGATACTTTAGAGCAATTCAAGCACTACAATATCAAGAGCCACCTAAAACTATAGAGGACCTTGTTAGAGCTGTGGAGAATTCCTTTGAAGTTTACACATCTAAGCAATTGAATAGGATTTTCCTAACACTACAAGCTACTATGGTTGACACTATGAAAGACAAAGGTTCAAATAAGTACAAGCCAAGCCATTTGAAGAAGGATGTGATGGAAAGAAGGGGTGAATTGCCTAATCAACTCAAGTGTGATCCCTACCTAGTCCAAGAAGTGTTAGAGCACTTAAAAGAAGTGGATGGATAGCTTAGATTAAGGGGTGAATATTTTTGTGAAGCCTCAATGTTTTGGTCATTAATATTTTGTGTTACAATTTTTCATGTAAATTGCAACACATAATATTAATAGTTAATATTTTGTAGTAAATGAAGCAATTTGTGTATGAAGTGGGTAGTTTATAATTTGCCAACAATTTCTATATTGACAATGCATATTGATGCTACATATCAAATTAAAGAAGAAAAAATTCTTTAGGAATTCAAATTAACTCCACAATTACGAAAGAGCTAAATATTCAGCACTGCATATTGATACTATATATCCATTTGTAATTTCCTAGCTACATGTAATCCCTACCATAACAGAGACGCAAAAGCTTACTAAAACAAAAAGCTTGCTAATTCAAAAACAAAACAAAACAGCTCGCTAATTCAAAACATTTGCCATTAGTTTAAATATCATCATCTATCATTCTAATATAATAGAGATGCAGAAGTGGCTAAAATGTCAATACATTCATCCATCAGACTAACCAAAAAAGAATATCATCGACATGCAACTTTAGCCTAACCAAAATAAACTAAACTATTATGCATCAGAATAAGCTTAAAATCTGGACTAATTATACAGAACTATAGAAGGCCCAGAAATTCAATGCTAGTCAGAGCATATAATGCAAAGTATCGTACACAAATCGCTTACGGGCTTTCTCTTCCTCGGTCAGATACTCATAATCTTCATCTGGAAATGGAAATTTGTTCAGATCGAATGGGTGGACAATCTTCCTCTTTTTTCTTTCTCTTCCCCGGTCAGATGTGCCGTTGCCGTTGCCACTGCTCACTTCTTCACTGTCCTTCGTTGCCTCTTCGTTCAAATCAAACGATTGGACTTGCTTTTGCTGCACCACCACAACGTCAAAAAATCGAAAGACCCAAGCGAAGAATCCTTCGGACCATGTGCCCACGAAATCTTCTGATTCAGAGACGTCACCTCTCCAGAGAAGTTGACTCGGGGTATATCTTCTTCCCCATCAAGAGAATCATCGACTGTACAGCCGATTAGCTCATCCCATGACAGATCTTCAAATCCCTTTTTCGTTGAGCTTGAACGGTGAAGATCCATCGACATTTCGAACCACTTCTTTCACGACGAGTCTGAGGCAAACCACGATAGAAGAGGAAAGATAGAAATGAAAGCCGATCGCCGATGAGGCGAGAGCTAACGGGAAGAATGAGAGAAGCGATCGACGGCAGAGACTGAACACGGTGAGAGAGAAGCTCGACTTTGGGAGAAAGAGAGAGTGATCCATAGACACAGGCAGGCGTGAGAAATGTCATACCACTAAGGGTATTTTCGGAACTTCAATCTAAAATGTATAATCATCAGCTCCTAGTGACTTATATTGTGGACTAGAATTGCCTTCTAGAAAACGTCCAATATTGCTGACCGGAGGGAGTATTATGCTGGTAGTCCAAGGTCCATTGGACATGGTTCAGGTGATAGGAAAAGCTTTTAGCAATTGTTGAGGGTTTTGGACATCCATTTTGTGTAAAAGTATTGAAAAGTAGTTTAAATGTGTTTAGGTGTCTAACTTCATAGTATGACATGTTTTGAAAGTAAAACCTATGCCATTAGCTAGTTTATGTAAAGAGCTTTTTGTAGACACATAGATCACGTCATTCGGATGTCGGATGGAGAATCAAGGAGAGTCAGAAGTTTCCTGATTCTATTGTCAAATGACAACAGAATTAGTAAAAATTTCATACAACAAGCTGCGGCGCATGGCACCTAAGTCGCAGCTCATGGCACAGAGAGCAACATGCCACAACGCAGCGTGCACAAGCCGTGGCGCATTGCCCTGTATCACAAAATATTTGTTTTTTTCAATCGTTTTTGACTTCTTTCACTCCTTTGAGGTATTCCATGGTCCTGTAACTTATTTTTACTCTAACATGAAAGATTTTGATTGATTTTAACTCATTTTTATTTAAAAAACTTAGGATCCTTTGCTTTTGGATTAAACCTTGGTAGTCATTCTTTGAGCTAATCCTTTGATTACTATGATTTTTATTTGTTAATTATGTTTAGTGGAGTGAGAATGTTTCATGTCACGGCGAGCATGTCAACGCGCTGCGACGCACGTGTAAAATCTACACTTATCAAATCATGAATTAGACTTGAAAACAGAAGAAAGAAAGAAGGAACTCAAGAGCAGCGATAAAGAGAGACTTGCGATTGCTAGAGCTTGCTTCCAATATGATTTTGGAGGCCTTTCAAGCTTCATATACATTGGATAAGCCTTCCTTTCTTCGCCCTTTCCCTCATTATGCGAAATTTTAAACATTTAGGGCAATGGGAGCTTTGATTTCGGTTCCCTTAGGTTTAAACCAAACCCATTAGATTATTTAAGGTCTTGGGGAGTTAAATCAAGCTTCTAACCCTAAGTTTATAAGTTTTATGGTGATTGAGAATTTTTGTTGAGAGTTTGGATGAACCCTAGGCATAATCTAGAGGTTTTAAGACAATGTGGGGAATTGGCTAGTGATTTTGGTGTGTTGGGATGCTTAATAAGATGGTTAGAGTGTTTAAGAATGGTTGGTGTTGTTAGGTGAGGAATTTAGGTGTTATAGGCACTTAGAACCTAGTGAATTCGGGTTAACGGAGTGATAGTTGATGATTATCACTTGATTATGTAGATTGAGCATTGCTTGAGCCATATCGTGCATATAGAATGTGTGGAGTTAACATTGAGCCATGGAAACCCTTTTGTGTGACAAAGAGTTGAGGTAACCATATAGTTTATTATATTTATTAACTATTATAAATATACATAAGTAAATACAAAGTGATGAATTTATGGTTTAAGAATTTTGTGCATGATTTGATATTAAAAAATGATTTTTAGCATGAACATTGGTTTGTGAAATGGATTTTTGAAAAGTTATTGATTTCAATGGATATGCATATATATATATATATATATGATATGAATGTACATGTTATAGGAATATGGATAAAGCAGTGATAAGTGTGAAAAGCATGATCATAAGGGGTGAGAGTTCACTCAAGATATATGTAAATGTGTGTATATGTGTGAAGATACATGAGTGAAAAATCCATATGGTCGGGTTGGCACCATGGAACATCCGGTACAACATTATATGGGATTGTTACCATGAGACATCCGAGCAATTTAGCAACTCCCTAGTACCTATTAAGGTGCGATTAGGAGTCAATGACACTTCTATTACAAGTGAGTGAAAAGGGAAAAACCATAGACTGTAAGTGGGTTAGATTACTTTTGGCTGGGTGTTTCTACCATCGAAAGTGTGCTCAGGTTAATAAGTGGTTGATCCAGGAGAGCCTATAGTTTCATGTCAGGGAGCATTGGTGATTCGGTGGTTAGATGATCATGCTAGTATGAAATTGTGGGGAATTGCTATAAAAAGATGCACTCATTTCATGAATCTAGTATACTCGATAATTACCTTAGTTTTGATACTTTATTATGATTATTTGTGGTAATAAGCATTTGATGAACTATACTAGTTACTGAGATGTTTATCTCATCCCGTAGTTATATTTTACAGGTGAGGGCTCTGGTAGGGATAAAGGGAAGGAAGGGGCAATTGAAGAGTGAAGAGCATTATAGTATAGCTCTTCCCCTTTTCCCTTTTAGGTTTGTAATGAATATTGCCATTATATAATGCCAACTTAGGAACATGACATTATTTTAGTATATTACTTATATGAATTTGTGATAAGTGTGCATATCTTGGTCCAAGGATGATGTTGTGGATTAAATGTGTGTGCTTGGCCAAATTACAATTACAAATGAAGAATTTGAAGTGATTTGTGTACCAAAATAATCGATTGACATGTGTTAAAATTTAATCCACCCCTTTGTATTATTGTCAAATGGGAGTTTGGTGGTCATTTTGAGTATGATTATTTACATGTGTGATATGAATGAATTGTCATGTTGTGTGTGGTCTATTTGAGATGGTCAAGGTGTCTTTGGGGTTAATGGCATTTGGTAGTGTGAGTTGGACATCTTTGTGTATGTTTTGAGGAAAAAAGAACCATTTTAGGTTTGGGTATCCATCTTTAAAATGAATGATTGTTTGAGTGTGAGACTGGTGCTATTAGCTAAAGGGTTCAAAGAGCTTTATGTGGATACTTAAATTGCCCAAATCGAACGTCGGATGGTGAAATGGCATACTCCGGAAGTTTAGAGAGTTGTCATGACAGCAATTTACTGTCATGATAGTAGGTACGCGTTGCGGCTCATGGTAGTTGTGTCGTGGCGCAAATGGCCTTCAAGGGACTTATCCCTCTGTGCCATCCGTTGCAACAGGCGTGGCTTGTACCACGGCAAATATGCTAGATTTTTAAAAGAATAGCTGGTTTCAACCTGTTTTGAAGGCTATTTGATTTTCATGTTTTCATATTTGTATTTATTTAATTTCTAACTGTAGTTTGAGCTCAAATACTATTTTAAAAACAGTTTTCTTGGGATCCCATTATTTCAACTTATTATATTTTAAAACCCTTGGGTTGTGATAACCTTTACTTGGGATATTATCTAATCTTAGTTATCACAACAGCATGTAAGAATATTATTATGGTAATGTCAAGGCAGACATTACATTTACAGTGTTCTTTGTTATCTTTAATTTTCCTTGGTTTAACTTAATGGATAAACTCATGACTATATCATTTTCCTATACTTATTCCATCTTCGTAAAGGAACAAGTTTTATTTTATGTGACACTTATCCTTGAACCCGAGGCATTTCATAGCTTTTATATGAGAAAAAAAAAAGAAAGAAAAGAATGGCAAGAAGAAAAAGAAATAAAAAGAAGAAAGAACATAAGAAAGGAAAGGAAAAAAAGTTGCCAAAAAAAAAAAAGGAAAAAAATCGAAATGGAAGAGGAAAAATTTTAAGAGAAGAAAAGAAAGGAAATGCAAAAGCAAAAGTCAAGCAAGAATGTAAGGGTTTCTTGAGTTGCAAGTCATTTTACTAT